TTCAACTCAATAAGCGGAAAACTGACCTAAAATTCATACTCCTCATGTATGACGTATGTACTTTAAGTAGATCTTTAAAATAATCTCTTAAATTTAAATGAGACGATGCATTTTTTAAAAAGAGATATTAAAAAAACATTTTAAAAAAAATTTTTAAAAACAGATTTTGAAAAAAATTTTCCAACTTTAAAACTTTGTTCGCGAACTTTTACCCCATCGCGTCTGACATAAACGGTACTATATCCCTTGCGCCGAGCTACTGCTACACGTCTGATCGTACGTCTGTTCGTATCACTTATTTCGCCTATCCATAATCTATTTACAATTTTTTTTTATATTTTTTCAAATAAACAAAATCGTCAAAAAAATAAATAACACAGAAAATTAAAAGGCATTAAAATAAGCTGCAACGCTTATTATTTTAATCCAATTTTGCTTATTTTAATACCAAAATGGATTAAAATAATAAGTGTTGCCGCTTATTTTAATGCCTTTTAATTTTCTGTGAAAATCTTAAACTAAAGAAAATTTAAATAAAAAAAAAAAAAAAAGTTGCAATACATTGCAAAAGAGTATTAAGAAAATAATTAATAAATTATTTTCCATAAAGAAAAAAAAAATTATTTAAAAAAATCGATTTTAACAAAAAACATATTTTAAAAAAAGAAATTCTTATTGAGAAAGTTGAGAGTCACTGTGCTAGACGGTCAATTTTAGTAGTGCCTCACGCGAATAAGAGGACGACTCCATACTTTCTCAAAATACGTTTTCATGTACGCGCAAATGGTATAAATGTATGCATGTCCATGCGATACTTTATACACTCGAGCACACATAAACGTATACGCAAATCCATACAAAGACACACTGGAAAAACTCACCCAGTCGGTCCATTTGCATTCTCCTCTTTTTTCCATTTTCCCATTCTCCACACTACTACGACGACGACGACGACGCTAAGGGACGTTCGTGTATTTTGCCAGAATTTTGCCTTCGCACAAAGAAATTCGTTTCTGAAATAAAAAAATAAAATAAGAAATTCGCCTTTTTTATCCTTATATAAATTATTTCTATTTATTATTATTATTATTATTATTATTATTATATTACTATTTTTTTTTCATTTTTAAAATTTGTGTAAAAAAAAATGAAAATTTTTAAATTCTTTTTACGTTGAAAAAAAACAATTGGAAAAAGTAAAAAATGGAATAGTGATATTTTAAGAAATGGGCATATTATTATCATTATTGTTGCGTGTTACAAAGTAATAATGGAAATATATGGGAAAAAATTCGGAGATATATGTTTTCTTTTCAAAAGCGCGAAAAATCATCAGTTACCAAGGTTGGCGCGAACAGGATAATTGCATGCTCATTTAACATTTTTCCACTAAAAGTATATACCTTATCGACAACTGATGTTCTTTAGAAATAAGTGTTTTCCTTCTAAAAATAAAAAAAAAAAATTTACTACCATTCGTCAAGTAGAAAATAAACTGCATATATATTTTTCGAAATAATTAACTTTACAATGTCAATTATTTTGCAAACAAGATTTTACAGCTTTTTTTTTTTTTTAAGAAAAAGGCAACATTAACCTTTCAAGGAGGTTCATATAACATAATCGCAAAAATAAATTTTCGAATTATAAGAGAAATTAATTTTGTTTGATAATATTTTACATTGATTATTTTTATATTTATATCAAGTGACCGATTATTTGAATCAAATTCCTTTTTTTTAATGTACAATTTGAGGTTATGTGGATTAAACCACCTTAATAGAAACCATGATGTAATATAAGAAGCCCCACTTTCTGTCTTTTCGTCTGCTAAACACAAAACGCATGCTTTTTTTTTAAATTTACTAAATTCACACATCCGCCATTTGTAATAATTCATCTCTCACCTGAGTTGCAACAGTTTCCCCGCAAGAGCGCTAGTATCGTTAGGAATTTTTTAAATTCACTTAAAACGGAAATTAAAATTTTTTTCGAATTCTAAATAAAATAAATATGGTGTCAAGATGAAAATATTAGTATATGAGTAAAAATTGTAAACACTAGTCAAGTGGTTTTTTTTTCTCGAAGATATTTAAAAAAAAGAAAATTAATTGCCAAACATTGAATCTTGAGAAAATGAGAACCATCACGTTCACTTTCTCCAAAGAGAGGAGAGAACCCTTTGGAATTCTCACCCCTTGGTTTCCTGGGAGTGCTCTCACTCTCGCTCTCAATTCGCTCTCACTGTTGTACTCACTCTCTCTTTCTCTCCATTTCCTCTGTCTCACTCACACATTTCATCCCTTTGCCCTTCAACCCCTTTTCGCCCCAAACCATCCACCCACCAGGATTCATTGCTCTCTGTCCTTATCTCAAATTTTCTCCTTCCCTTCTCTTTTCCCTTCCGCGCGCGCGGGAGGTAAGTGAGAGTGGACCTTGGTCCAGCGCTGCATCGACCCTCTTACCCCTTCCAGTTGGGAATTTCACCCTCATATATATATATATATAGTCTCAACATCCCCCCCTCTCCCTCACCCCTTCCTTCTCCCTGACCACGGACGCCGCACCCTAATCCCTATCTCGAAAATACGGCTCTTGCTCGACCCTCATACACGTGAGTATTGATTGGAGACAACATCGCTAGAGAGCGCCACCATTGGCCAACTCCAAACTTCCTATATAGCAGAGATTTTTTTTTCATCCCCCTATTTTTTTTTTTTTTCTAGGATTGATTATGATCTTTATTTTTCCCTCCTCCTCATCTAAAATCATCTCATTTTTCTTTACTCCTTAATTGACTTTACATTGGGCACGGTTAGTTATTCCTTTTACTATATTATATACGAATAACCCAATTTAACAAACTTCCCTCAAAGTAAAAACATAAATTTTAGGTCGAAAATTTTTTTTTGTTTTTAATTCATAACTTTGTATAAAAAATTTTTATAAGGTCAATTTTTTTTTTGTTTCTTTTTTTCTTTCTTTTGTTTGTATTTTTCTCTCTTTATTATTTAATATCTCAAACAAGTAAATTTTTTTCTCATCGTAGCGAAATTCAGATATAATATTGATTTATACGAACGTGCGAAAATTTTCTTGGCTCTTATAATGTACGAAAAGAAAATAAATATCAAGTTTTTATAAAAGTATTTTCAAATTTATATTTATTTTTCAGTTAAAATTTGGTAAAACGTTCTTAATTCATTAGTAAATAATTATTTTTTATTAAATTTTGTATTTTAAATTTTTCTAATTAGAATTTTTTATAAAAAAATTTTTCCACGATTTAAAAATACTTTTATGAAATTTAATATTTATTTACTTTTAGTAGAAATTGAGTCAAATAATTAATAAACTCAAACAATAATAGTCAAGTAAGCGATTATTCAAAAAAAAATAATTTTCTTTTTTTTAAATAAAAAATAAGTTAAAGAAAAACTTTGTTTTCAAAAGTTCTTCAAAGGTATATATATAATTAGTAACAAATTTTTCAACAACAATCATAATTCCATTTCTTAATCATATAATTGTTTTCAGTTATTATTATATACACGCGAAACACGCAACAAAAATCAAAAGTTAGATTTATGGATTTATGCCATTCAAAAAAATTTGTAAGAAATACTTTTTTACAAATTTTAGTAAGTACTATATATATCTATATGCGTGTTTAGAAGCTTGGCATATATATATAGTGTTTCCGGCAATTGTAGATAATTAGATCGAGTCATGCGATCCACAATGATGTGCTCGCGCCCTTTAATCGTTATTGTAAAGGATAAGTTTCGCGTAAAATACCCAAAAATGAAAAAGAAATAAAAAAGAATTTGACCAAGGAGACTGAAAATCCCATTTTATAATTGGCACCTCGAGCATAAAAAAAATTAGTTTTTTAATTTTTTAAATTTTCCTCTTTTCTACGATTTTTTATAATAATAACACTGAGAAAAAAAATTCAGTCAAAACAAAATTGTTTGGTTAGGCAATTTTGGTTCTTGTAACAAAATTTTGGTTGGCTGAAACAAAGTCAAAGTTATCTCAACCAAACATTTGGTTAGGCCAACAAAATTATTTGGTTAAACATTTTTAAATTCCAACCAAAATTTGGTTACAATAAAATAATTTGGTTAAAACAACAAAATACTTTGGTTAGGCAATTTTGGTTCTTGTAACCAAATTTTGGTTGTCTGAAACAAAGTCGTAGAGTTATCTCAATCAAACATTTGGTTAGGCCAACAAAATTATTTAGTTGAACATTTTTAGATTCCAACCAAAATTTGATTACGAAAACAAAATAATTTGGTTAACACAACAAAATAGTTTGGTCTAAAAAACCAAATGATCGTTTGTTGTTCTAACTAAAATTTGGTTGCGACAACCAAATAATTTGATTCCCTCTCAGCTCATAACTTAAAAACAAAAAAAAACTGTTTGTTTGATCAACCAAACATTTTTGTTGACCTAATAAAAAAAATTTGGTTGAGCTAACCAAACATTTTTGTTATGCCAACTAAAAATACTCAACCAAATTTTTTGGTTGACTGAAACAAATAGTGTGATTGCTTAAATACCAACAAAATTTTTTTGTTGGCCCAACCAATTTTTGGTTGCTCTGACTAAACATTTTTCTCAGTGAATAATAATATTTCTAATTCCTTCTGTTAAATTATAGTTCTTTTCTAAAAATTACTTTTTAATACCCAAAATTTTTGACAATAATTATTTTTCGGAAATTTTGATTTATAATTAAAATACACAGGTAGGATTTATTTTTTTTTCTGTTACACAACATTTATGATAACCGTGGAAATGTGAAATTTGTCATGGTCAAGTGAGATAGAATCTTTTAAGGTTTCTAACTATATGAATTAGGTTTCTCCCTTCTTCAGATGCATATAACCTACCCTAACAATAAATATATTTAGTGGTCGTTAGTTGCCTTTCACTCTTAAAGTATATTCCACTAGTCATTTCTTTTTTTTTCTAGAGAGATCGACATAATGGTTCCCGAAGGGGAAACATGGGGAATTAGGTGAGCTTAGGAAATGGAGAGACTTCTTTCTAGTGTGTGTGTGTGTTACATTTGAGTGACAACTTTTGCCTTGTTTCCTGACCAACCATAAGACTTCAAAAAAAAAAAACTACTATTTTTTTTCCCTTTCCGATTTCAATAAAAAATATATTCAATTTCTGTTTAATTAAATTTTTCTTTAAATTTATTCTCCATTTAAGATTTAGAGAGTAAGGAATTTGAATTTAAATTTAGAATTAAATTTAATTTAATTCCGTGGAGAAATTTAATTTAAATTTACGCGCAAACATAAAATTAAACATAAGTTTCAACATTTAGAATTAAACTTTTAGGCTTAAATAGTTTCTATTGTATTTGGGGACTGTAAATTAGAATTAAGATTAGTATTTACTAATTTTTTTTTTTTTTTTTTTCAAATTTCCGAATTCAAGGAAAGTTAAAACACGATTGGAATGTATAGTATCACTGAATTGAAAATGTAACTCACGATTTTGTTCGCAATAGGGGTGGCGAGCTTGCAAGTTCTTTGTGCCAAGCCTATATACCTTTGGCCATTTGAGACTTTTTGCGACAGAAGAAGAGGAGAGGGAAAAGAGATCAAAGGCCTCGAATTTTAGTCCCTTGATTTACAACTTTTGCACAAGCCTAATCGCATTTCAAGTTATTTCACTGATCTTTAAGTATTCTTTAAAGTTTCGAAAGAAAATTTAATTTTAAAAATAAAATTTTTATAAAATCCAAATAAATTGAAAAGAAAATTATTTTTTTTTTGTAATATGTTGTAATTACTATAATCCTATAGGGAATGAAACAAATGACAGAAAGCAATTCACTTTGCAAGCAAATAACAACTGTTACTTTATGAGCCATTAAATAAAAAAGTAAGAGAAAATACTGGTTTTTGTGGTGAGGAAAAAGGAAGGAAGATATTACATGCGTGAAGAAGGGGGAAAGAGATCGTAATTTCAGAGCTCCATCACCCACGTGGGGGTTCCTTCTCTCTAATAAGTGCCATAAGCTGACGTAATTTACAAGGTTCGTATATATGTATATATATGTGTGTAAGTGGAATAATGGACCAACTTCGTTTACCATAAATAATGAAATTACTAATATATAATAAATTTTCAGAAAATATTTTTTTTTCCCCATTATTTTTATTTATAATTTGTGAAAGAAATGTATTTTTTATTAAAATAGTAAATAGTAAAAAAAGGTACTAAATTTTTTTTAAATATTAAAAATAGTAAATACTAAAAGTACTAAAAATAGTAAATACTAAAAATACTAAAAGTAGTAAATACTAAAAATATTAAAAACAGTAAATACTAAAAGTACTAAAAATAGTAAATACTAAAAGTACTAAAAGTAGTAAATACTAAAAATATTAAAAATAGTAAATACTAAAAGTACTACAAATAGTAAATACTAAAAGTACTAAAAGTAGTAAATACTAAAAATATTAAAAATAGTAAATACTAAAAGTACTACAAATAGTAAATACTAAAAGTACTAAAAGTAGTAAATACTAAAAGTACTGAAAGTAGTAAATACTAAAAGTACTACAAATAGTAAATACTAAAAGTAGTAAATACTAAAAATACTAAAAGTACTAAAAGTAGTAAATACTAAAAGTACTAAAAGTAGTAAATACTAAAAATATTAAAAATAGTAAATACTAAAAGTACTAAAAGTAGTAAATACTAAATTATAAAAATAGTAAATACTAAAAGTACTAAAAGTAGTAAATACTAAAAATATTAAAAATAGTAAATACTAAATGTACTAAAAGTAGTAAATACTAAAAATATTAAAAATAGTAAATCCTAAAAGTACTAAAAATAGTAAATACTAAAAGTACTAAAAGTAGTAAATACTAAAAATTATAAAAATAGTAAGTACTAAAAGTAGTAAATACTAAAAATTATAAAAATAGTAATACTAAAAGTACTACAAATAGTAAAAAATAAAAGTACTAAAAGTAGTAAATACTAAAAATATTAAAAATAGTAAATACTAAAAAAATAAAAAAAAAAGTTTGACAAATGAATATGAAGACCTAAACTTCTCTCATCCTAACGATCACAACGAGGGTTAAACCGAGCGTCTTAGGCGACAGTTTCGTGGTGAATAAACTTACATCACGTTTGAACAAGTCGTTAAGACATTGTAGAAGACACGCGATTTGTTTGGGAAAAATTATTTTGGAAATTTAGTACCCGCAAATTTCCATCATAAATTCATTGTGTAAAACAAGTTCTCGTGACAACGAGCAATATTCTTGATTTTATGAGCTGTGAAATTCATTTCTTAACTCGATAATTATTACTGTTTTCGATGACATTTTTCCTATATTTAAAAATCGCTTTTTTCTTATTCAAAATTTTTATTTTTTTTTTTTGAAAAAAGTACTTTTAATATTTATTGAGAGTATTAAAATATTTAAAAATATTTTAAAAAAAAGAAAAAATAATGATAATATGGAACAAAAATGTTATTCTAAAGATATGTTTGGTCGAGGAGCTTTTCGTACCTGGTACACAAGAATATGAGCAGTCGGTCCGAAGTGAGTTAGTAACTAGCACCTAGTTTGCGGACAATTATTATCACACGAATAGTGAGGCAGAACTATAACGGGTCGATTGGCCTTCCATCACATGATATCAATTTTGCTTTATCATTAAAACTATATATTTTTCGATTTGATAAACTCTAACAATGAGAAAAAAAAACTAAATTTACTTCTCGCTAATCTATCATTGAAAAAAAATAAAATCTCCATATTAATTTTACATTTTATTTTCAATTTATTATTCATCTTAAAAAAAAAGACTTTTCTTTATTTGAAAATATTACTGATCAATAAAAAATAATTTATATTTTATTTAACATTCTCTAAATTTGCCACTAAGAAAAATGTTTAGTCAGAGCAACCAAAATTTGGTTGGGTTAACAAAAAAATTTTGTTAGTATTTAAGCAACCAAATTATTTGTTTGAGTCAACCAAACTATTTGTTTGAGTCAACTAAAAAATTTGGTTGAGTGTTTTTTGTTGGTATAACAAAATTGTTTGGTTAACTCAACCAAATTTTTTTTGTTAGGTCAAAAAAAAAAAATGTTTGGTTGTTCAAACAGTTTTTTTTTGTAAAATTAAAAATTTTATTCTATCTTATTTTCTTTTTATCTTTTTTATTTATTTCACTATTTATTTATTATCAATTTAATATTGAATTTATATTTATCCAATTGAAATATTTGTAGACTTTGAAAAATCTCATTTCCACCTGAGATCGAACCTCTGTTTCGTCGCAACCAAATTTTGGTTAGGACAACAAACGAAAGATTTTCAAACCAAACTATTTTGTTGTGTTAACCAAATTATTTTGTTTTCGTAACCAAATTTTGGTTGGAATTTAAAAAATGTTCAACCAAATAATTTTGTTGGCCTAACTAAATGATTGGTTGAGATAACTCTACGACTTTGTTTCATACAACCAAAATTTGGTTACAAGAACCAAAATTGCCTAACCAAACAATTTTGTTGCAAACACTAAATTTTTTTCTCAGTGTAAATTAGTAGTTTTCTACTAATGAAAGAGTACGTCTTCGTTTATCAATTGAATTAGTAACAGTTTTGACTAATTTTTAGTAAAGAAATACTAGTACGAAACTACTAATTATTATATAAATTATTATTATAAAATTTGGTATCTAGGGGTTTTTGGGGTCGCTGATGTCGAATCAGATGTTAAATTTTCAAAATTCAAAATGGCGGATATAAAAAATTAATAACATCTTAAAATTTTGACCGCCATATTGGATCCGCCATTTTGAATTTTTGAAAATCTGACACCAGATTAATAATCCGTAACCCCGAAAACCCCAGATACCAAGTTGTATTAAATGTTAATAATTTTTAAAAGATATCTTGTCACTTTTCATTTAGGGGTTGTTTTCACTCCTAAAAACCGCAAACGACTTGATCTATCAAAACGGCCAGACACGGGTATTTTTTTTTTTGGTCCTAGTTTCCGAAAATGTTGGATTTTTTTGTGGTTCAAAAAAAAAAGTTAAATTTTGTCGGACGGTGTACTAATTCAGATTTAGAGAGAAAAAAGTTGTTTTCTATTTTTAAAAAATTCACTGGAAATGAATTTTTTCGCTATACATATAGAAAAAACCTTTTTTGCAATAACAACTGGTTTTGAATAATTGCAAATAGAATTCCCTTCAAGTGAGATTTAATGTTGTGTATATACAGGAGAATTCTTTGAAAGTGTATACAAATATTTTTTTTTACCTATTTACATCGGTTTAACACGACTATATTTATGTTAGCATGCACACACAGAATTGTATATAGAAAGCATAGTTATTCGATAATAACACAAGTTCCGCGAGGGGTTGCTTTTGGTTGAGGGTGCTGAATGCACGCCAGTATACTTTCAACTTCTTTCCCGGTGACTGCTCATATATTAATAAACAATTTTTTCCCCCAAAAATTTTTAATCATTTTTATTTTTTTAAAACATTTAAGGTGAGTTTTATTCTCTTGTTTATAATTTTATAATTAATTATTTTTAAATTATTATTATATCTGCAATATCTGCATTAGAAAATAAAGCAGAAAATTTCTGGAATTAAAGCTGCTTGTAAGATATTAAAAATTATGCTGAAATGTCAATACTGATTTAGTCGCTTGTTTCGCTGAAGTAGCAAGTGGATTTGAGCGTAATTTTAACTTTGCTTCTTTTCGAGGTCGTGGTGCCGTCGGGAGAGATTAAATAAATTAAAGTCGATTGAGTCTCTCACGTGGATCTGAACAAAGCATCGAAACAGATCGGTTGCGTAAGCTCTTTTCAGAGGTGAGTGGACGCTGGAATAAGAGAGAAAAAAAAAGAAAGAAGAAGAAGAAGAATGAAATCTGGAACAAGGGAGTTTAGAATTTTTAAACTGGATCTCTCGTTTTTATTTCCCGGAAATTTCGTTTCTAAATTTTAAGATTCTAGAACGAGAGAGAATTCGCAAAATAAAAGTGGTGTGTGTGTATGTGTGTATGGGACTATACGCTCCCGTTAGTAATGTTCTGGCAAAAATAGAAAAAAAAAAAAAAAAATGACAAAAATGCGAGACCGGAACCGCGAGGCACGCGGGGTCCTTGATATTTGGCAATTGATTGGCAGGGTTGCCAATTTGGCCAATTATCGTCGCCCATTTTCGTTTTTCGCGGAATACAGAATTAAATTACTAGTTACAAACTAAATATCGCCTTAAGCCACCAATGAGATTGATTTCTGATTTTTAGAAATTTTTGATTTTTAGAAGATGAACTATAGAAAATATGAAATTTCAACGCGCAACTATAAAAAAATAGAAACGGTATATTGTTTCTCATGCGACAGATATTGTATATACGCCACATTATATATACTTATTGTAGTGATAGTTTAGAATTCAAATATTCAATTTTTACATTTTAAAAAATTTTTAAATTTCTATTTTTTAAAAATCTTAATATATTCTGAAATAATTAATTTTTTTTAATCAGAAATATTAATCATATTACCCAAAATTGATGTATAATTTTTTCGGTGCTTTTGCATTTTAAAAAAATATATACTAAACTATTATTCATAATCTCACTCTGGGGGTATACGTTTCTTTCAATGTACCATTATATATATATATTTATTTAAAATTTTATACTTTTTCAAAAACCTGTTGAGAGTTATGCTTCATTGATTTACTAATCTTTAAAATATAAATAGCATTCCAATAAAGAATAGTGCGCGTGTATAAAATATTCTCGAATTCTAATGATAGAGATCAAATAAAATAGATATCGTTTGTAATACGATCTTTAATTTAAGTCGATTAGATGGCCCCATGGTTTTTACTACGAATTCATTAAAAAAAATTTTGAAAAGAAATATTTAATTATTTTTTCATAAGTAAAAAAAAAGAACAATTAATTTTAAAAGAAATTTTTCCGAAAAATTGCAATAATTATTATTTAATGAAAAAATAATAATTATTAAATTATTTTTAATTTCAGAAGCATTTCTTATTCATTGTTTCACAATATTCTATTTTAAATTAATGGAAAAATAATTTTGAAGTTGTATATACGCAAAGATATCGTTTCAAATCGGCATCATCTTTTTGTAATAAGATATTAAAATTGATCGAAGATATGGTTGTTATAGCGTGAAAGAAGTTTACATCTTCAATTTTTTTTTCCTCTCTTTAATTTACAATAACGAGATTATTATTGGGTTTATACATTTACAAAATGATTATAATCATTTTTTCAGGAGAAAAGCTAAAAGGTTAATAAAAATCGAATGAAATAATAAATGAAGTGTGAGTAATTTCATCATTGTGGCTTCATACGGAAGAAGACATTTTGTAGATGAGGTGCCAGGATTATACATTAGACGCCTTAGATTAGAGGACCCAAAAAGCGCCAGAGATCGTCCTCACACAGGACCTCCTACAAAACATTCCTGTCATACCAGTAATAATTACTTTTTTTCGGGGCGTGGAACTTCTAGGTATTAAAAAAATGTATATTCTTTCATATTTTAAAAATATCTGATTTTTAAAAAATTATTCAATTGTTATTTAATTAATAATATTTAATATATTTTTTTTGTTAAAAACTAATTTTTGTTTAAACATTTTTTTTAAAATAGGAAAAAATTATTTCTCCTTTTTTGTCTTAAAAAATAATTATATTTAATAAAATTCTTTAAATTGAAAATTCTAATTCTATATTTATAAAATATTAATGATATTAATAGAACAATTTTTAATTTTCTACTGACAAGGGGAAATGATCGTTAGTGTAACCTGCAATTAAATGCACTAAAATTTAATGGTTCGCTAGATGCACGACTTAATAAAAAGCACTGTATATATATATCCGATTTAATGTCGGTGTGCGCGCATTATCGCGTTATTAAAGTGTGCATTAAAATACGAGCGCGCGTTTATAAGTCATCGGAGAATCATATTATTATCTTCGACGGTTCATCTTCGCTTTTCTTGAGTTGTGAGAGAGTAGAGACCAAAGTATGCGCGCCTTGAACCTAGGGTGTATATATTGCACTTCAAAAGCTGACCCCCAAAGCCTTAAGCGGGCAAGGTTACCGAGTTTATTGCAGTTTCAGATCTCATTACTTCGTGAAATACCTCGATTTAACTTTCTTGTTCTCTATCATATTAGTCTTTGTTTTTTTGAAAATTATAATTCTTTTGAAAAAAAAAATTTTAAGTTTTTATATAATAAAATTTTTCTCCAATAAATTAAAATATTTACCTTAATAACGAATTTTCAGCTTCATGGCGATTTTTCTTTCAAACTAAATAGCCCTCGGAGATCCCTACTTTCAAGTTAAATTTCCATTCAGAAAATGTGAAAATTAACCGTAAAAATAGACCGAGTTCTAAAAAGTCTGAATATGAAGAATTCTGGGTCCTTTTTTAATTTCACCCTTATCTTTGAAGTACGTGACACCACAAGCCATCGAGGATAGAATCTGCAAAAAAAAAAAATTAAAATACTGTCAGCGCTGTATTAACTAGTTAAATTTTTAATCGGTCGGTAATGTAGAAAACTATAAAAAATTTAATCTCCAAATTTGATAAAATTAAGTGTGGCATCAAGACTAAACCTAAAATAATTTAATTGACTACCCTAGACACCTCGGAGTAAGACGTTGTTAGGCCAAAAAAAAAAATTTATATTCTCCAAAATATATAATTCTAAAATAATTTTTAATTTTACAGTAGTTATAGATCATGGCTTAACCAAATAAGAAATGAGAGACAGGCATTTTTAACAATAATTTCATTGGAATTGCCTGAAAGTTCAGTGCCATTAATTGATGCAAGTGTTCCATGTAAAAGAATTGATGAAAATTTCGTCGAAAAAAATAATGAAATTGGAAATAAAGAACTTTTGGAACGAGTCACTCAAGTTACTGATGAGAAACGTGAAAAGGAAAAATGCGTTGTGAGCGTTGAACCTGTTAAGAAAGTTCGTAAAGCTCGAAAACAACAAGGTATTAAATTGTTGGCGTGCACGAAGAGACCAGCGACCCTCGAGAAATGCACGAGAAACATCGTTAAAGGTATACACATCTTTCTAAAAAGTTAAATTCAAAACAAAAAAAAAAAAACAATAAGATAATAAATCTTCCTGACAATGGTTTTGTTAATTATTTTTTAAATTGCAAATTTATTTTATATTTTCAAATTTTTAACCAATTAGTTTCCACAAAAAAAAATTGTCTAGAAAAATCAATACATATAAAAAATATTATAAAACAAATAAAATTTTTAATGTAGAAAATATTCTTCTAACTCTTTCATTACCAGACACAGATGCTGTTTGGGTTGCATGAATTCAGGCGCAATTCAACGCCTATAGAGAGGCAACCTGTTACTTTTCCTTAAAATATTTTCTACTTTCCTTCTCAATAATAATAATTCACTTTTAGTTGTAATTTAAATAGGATTTTGTCTAAAAAAAAAAATTATTTATTTCTTTTAGGAATAGAACAAACTGAAACTTCAGAAGATGAAGATGACAGTGATTGTATTTGTTCGAAAATTTCGGAGAATTTACGTATTACTTTACGCAAAAAAACCGAAGTAACAAGAACACCACGTGATCCAAGTCCGGAAGTGACTCACACAATTCGCATTGCAATGAAATATCATGGACAACCGGAATGTGGTCTCATCGATAGAGAAGAAGATGAAATACGAGAATCAGCTAATTCCAATTCTGAGAAAAGTAGAAAATCAATGGAAAATGACATCACCAAATTATTGGAAGAAAAACCAAAGGAAAATTGTTGTTCTAATCTAAATATTGCTCTTGATTTCACTCTCAATTGCAATAGTGTACAATTGACATCTAGAGATATTAGTTTAAGACCTGTCACCAAAAATCAACAAACACAAAATGATTTTGATTAATAAAAATGTTTACTGAGGTAATGAAACTAGTTTTGATTTTATTATTATTATTTTTGTACAATTTTTTACAAATTTATTGTTTAAGAATTTATTTTTAACTACTAAGTTATATTTTTGTATATTATTTTAAAATAACAATTTTCAAATTCTCAATTTATTGCTATTAATTCATAGAAATATTTCAAGATTTTTCCGTTATAAATAATTACAGAACTTGGATGTGTATAATAAATATGAATACAAAATTTCAAAATTCAATCAAATTGGTCATAAAAACTCAATGTAATTTAGGGTTAAAGCATGCTGAATGCTAATTTAGTGATCACTAGCAGCGATAGCCTATTAATTAACTTTACTAATAAATCTTGAAATAGAGGCCAACAAAATCGGTGCGGGTTTTTTTTAGCTTTACGACGAGTTTGTGTGTGCGACATCAAGTCTAGTTCCCGCGGCTTGACAAGGATAGCAAAAAAAGTTGACTGGGTTTCTCTTCTTTCTTTTTCTCCTTTTTTTGGTGGGGCCCAATGGCCCATTGCCCTCCCTTCTCCTCACTGCCCCACCACCCCCCCTTTATATTCTCGTCGCCACCCTCGCCGCCAAGTATTTTTATTTTGTCTGTGCACTTTACGCTCACACACAGAGAGAGAATCTTCTCACATACCGCAAGGATAAAATGGTTCATGGTCATTTAAAAAAAAAAAATTGCTCCCACAAAACCATTCTTTTAAGAAATGTTTTTAATATCTTCATTTAGAAAAATATGTAGTTCCAGTTTCAAAAAAAATTCTTTGTATTTATAAAAATCCATTATTACTATAAAAACAAAACTTTGTTTTATTTATTTGTAACACCGTTTTAATATAATCCGAACATAAAAAACAAATATTATAAAATAAAAATGTAGGTTTTTTTTAGAATTAATAAATCTTTTTTTGTTTTTTTCATGTAAAATTAAATAGTTGTAGAAACATAAATATTCTACAAGCCCTAATTAGAAAACATATTTTTAGTTCACACAGAATTTGTGATATTCTGATAAATTTTTTCCTTTTTTTAAGCAAAATCTTTTACCTAATTTATTATTAGGAATCACAGATCGCTCAAGTGGAAAAAGATACGAAACGCAAATAAATGGAGTGATTAAAAGAAGAATGAGAAAAATAAACAACTTTTATAAAAATCTTCTTTTGTTAGTTATACAACAATTGATTGGCAACATCCCCTTTAAGAAAAGACATACAAAAGAAGAGATCCATAAACCGTAATTAACATATTGTAATAAAATATTTTCTAAAAATAATAGATTATTATTGTATCGGGCACTTTTTTATTGGTCCAGCGGATGCTGAGCTACACTCAAATTAAGATCGGAAAAAAATTCGAAAAATATAATTTGCGAGATAATCCCTCCGGAATATCATTAAAATCTTAAACGGAAATTGTCTACCAAAAATGTATACCGCACTTTTTAATTGGTACAACGGACGCTGAGCTAGTTCAAAATGAAACTTGTCATTTTTAAAAATTTTAAATTAAACACTCTGAAAATAATTCCAAAGTCTTAACCCAGGAGTTGTCTGAAAAAAATGTATAGCGCACTTTTTGATTAGTCCAGCGGATGCTGAGCTGCACGAGAAAACAAATTTGGAAAAAATTTAGAAAAATTAAATTTGCGAGATAATCGTTCCGGAACACCGCCAATAAAATAGGGAAAAAGTAGCGAACAAAAAATGTACGGCGCACTTTTAGATTGGACCAGCGGATGCTGAGCTACACTCAAAAAATCCTGCAAAAAATTTTCGAAAAATAAAATTTGCGAGATAACCGTTCGGAAATACCGCCATAAAAATAGTCAAAAAGTTCCGAACAAAAAATGTATGGCGCACTTTTAGATTGGTCCAGCGGATGCTGAGCTACAGAAAAAAACAAATTTGGAAAAAATGTAGAAAAATTAAATTTGCGAGATAATCTCTCGGGAATAATGCCAAAGTCTTTAGCAAAAAGTAGCGAACAAAAAATGTATGGCGCACTTTTAGATTGGTCCAGCGGATGCTGAGCTACACTAGAAAACAAATTTGGAAAAATTTCCGAAAAATTAAATTCGCGAGATAATGTCTAGGGAATAAAGCCAAAAAATTGAGCAAAAAGTCTCGAACAAAAAATGTATGGGGCACTTTTTGATTGGTCCAGCGGATGCTGAGCTACACACAAAAAATCCTGGAAAAAATTTTCGAAAAACAAAATTTGCGAGATAACCGTTCGGAAATACCGCCATAAAAATAGTCAAAAAGTTCCAAACAAAATATGTATGGCGCACTCTTAGATTGGTCCAGCGGATGCTGAGCTACACTAGAAAACAAATTTGGAAAAATTTCCGAAAAATTAAATTCGCGAGATTATGTCTAGGGAATAAAGCCAAAAAATTGAGCAAAAAGTCTCGAACATAAAATGTTTAGGGCAATTTTTGATTGGTCCAGCGGATGCTGAGCTATGCTAAAAAACAAATCCGGAAAAATTTTCATAAAATGAAATATTCGAGATAATCGTTCGGGAATACCGATAAAGTATTTAGAAGAAAGTTCTGAACAAAAAATGTATGGCGCACTTTAAGATTGGTCCAGCGGATGCTGAGCCACACTCAAATAATTTTTTTAAAAAATTTCGAAAAAATAATTTTGCGAGATAATTGATCGGGAATACCGCCAAAGTCTTATCCCGGGAGTCTTGAACAAAAAATGTATGGCCCACTTTTTGATTGGTCCAGCGGATGCTGAGCTACACTCAGATAAATTTATTAAAAAATTTCGAAAAAATAATGTTGCGAGACAATTGGTCGGGAATACTGCCAAAGTCTTAACCCGGGAGTCTCGAACAAAAAATGTATGGCGCAATTTTTGTTTGGTCCAGCGGATGCTGAGCTACACTCAGATAAATTTTTTAAAAAATTACGAAAAATTAAATTTGCCAGATAATTGATCGGGAACACCGTCAAAGTCTTAACCCGAGAGTCTTAAACAAAAAATTTATGGCGCAATTTTTGATTGGTCCAGCGGATGCGGCGCTACAATCAGATAAATTTATAAAAAATTTCGAAAAAATTAAATTTGCGAGATAATTGGTCGGGAGTGATGCCAAAGTCTTAACCCGGGAGTCTCGAACAAAAAATGTATGGCGCACTTTTTGATTGATCCAGCGGATGCGGAGTTACAATCAGATAAATTTTTTAAAAAATTAAATTTGCGAAATAATTGGTCGGGAATACCGCCAAAGACTTAACCCGGGAGTCTCGAACAAAAAATGTATAGCGCACTTATTGATTGGTCCAGCGGATGCTGAGCCACACTCAGATAAATTTTTTAAAAAATTACGAAAAATTAAATTTGCCAGATAATTGATCGGGAACACCGTCAAAGTCTTAACCCGAGAGTCTTAAACAAAAAATGTATGCCGCAATTTTTGATTGGTCCAGCGGATGCGGCGCTACAATCAGATAAATTTTTTAAAAAATTTCGAAAAAATTAAATTTGCGAAATAATTGGTTGGGAATACCGCCAAAGTCTTAACCCGGGAGTCTCGAACATAAAATGTATGGCCCACTTTTTGCTTGGTCCAGCGGATGCGGAGCTACGATCAGATAAATTTTTTAAAAAATTTCGAAAAATTAAATTTGCGAGATAATTGATCGGGAATACTGCCAAAGTCTTAACCCGGGAGTCTCGAACAAAAAATGTATGGCACAATTTTTGATTGGTCCAGCGGATGCTGAGCTACACTAGAAAACAAATTTGGAAAAAATTTAGAAAAATTAAATTTGCGAGATAATCCTTCCGGAATACCGCCAATAAAATACGGAAAAAGTTTCGAACAAAAAATGTATGGCGCACTTTTTGATTGGTCCAGCGGATGCTGAGCTATGCTAAAAAACAAATCCGGAAAAATTTTCATGAAATGAAATATTCGAGATAATCGCTTGGGAATACCGCCAAAGTCTTTAGCAAAAAGTAGCGAACAAAAAATGTATGGCGCACTTTTAGATTGGTCCAGCGGATGCTGAGCTACAATAGAAAACAAATTTGGAAAAATTTCCGAAAAATTAAATTCGCGAGATTATGTCTAGGGAATAAAGCCAAAAAATTGAGGAAAAAGTCTCGAACATAAAATGTTTAGGGCACTTTTTGATTGGTCCAGCGGATGCTGAGCTATGCTAAAAAACAAATCCGGAAAAATTTTCATAAAACGAAATATTCGAGATAATCGTTCGGGAATACCGATAAAGTATTTAGAAGAAAGTTCTGAACAAAAAATGTATGGCGCACTTTAAGATTGGTCCAGCGGATGCTGAGCTACACTCAGATAAATTTATTAAAAAATTTTAAAAAAATAATGTTGCGAGACAATTGGTCGGGAATACTGCCAAAGTCTTAACCCGGGAGTCTCGAACAAAAAATGTATGGCGCAATTTTTGTTTGGTCCAGCGGATGCTGAGCTACACTCAGAAAAAATTTCGAAAAATCAAATTTGCGAAATAATTGGTCGGGAATACCGCCAAAGACTTAACCCGGGAGTCTCGAACAAAAAATGTATGGCCCACTTTTTGATTGGTCCAGCGGATGCTGAGCTACACTGAGATAAAATTTTTAAAAAATTTCGAAAAATTAAATTTGCGAGATAATTGATCGGGAATACTGCCAAAGTCTTAACCCGGGAGTCTCGAACAAAAAATGTATAGCGCACTTATTGATTGGTCCAGCGGATGCTGAGCCACACTCAGATAAATTTTTTAAAAAATTACGAAAAATTAAATTTGCCAGATAATTGATCGGGAACACCGTCAAAGTCTTAACCCGAGAGTCTTAAACAAAAAATGTATGGCGCAATTTTTGATTGGTCCAGCGGATGCGGCGCTACAATCAGATAAATTTTTTAAAAAATTTCGAAAAAATTAAGTTTGCGAGATAATTGGTTGGGAATACCGCCAAAGTCTTAACCCGGGAGTCTCGAACAA